GGGAGAACCGGCACCGGGGAGAACCGGCACCGGGGAGAACCGGCACCGGGGAGAACCGGCACCGGGGAGAACCGGCACCACTGCACCTTCGTCTTGTGGTGCTTTAGGAACCGTAGCTGACGCTGATTGCTCACGTGCCAAACCTGCAATATAATAAACATAAGTTGTCACTCGCGAATTACATTGAAAAACACTTAATTTATAGCCTATACGTTCTTCCACAGTATGTTTTAAATCTATGCCAAATTTTATTGAGATTTATTCTGGACTTTCACAGAAACATCCATCAATACATCTAAACATTCGCATTTATAATATTTGTAAGATTACATGAATAAAAGTATTAGCTTCTAGATACACCATAATTACAAATTCTTGTCCGCGTCATTTGGGTACGACATTAGCACAGAGTGAATTTCGCTAAGATAGCGAAGTGTCCACTACCCGATATATTCAATAAGTTAAAAGGTTATTTTCACGTTGCCCAACTTAAGTATTGTTAGGAAGAAAATCTGACACTGTGCCGGTGTACTGGCGCAACACTAGCCTCACTAAAATGCCGACATTTGTGTCCCCTCACTATTAATTCTGACACTGGACTTTGTAACGAAAGCGCGTCATTCGCGCCAAAGGATTCTAATTAATAATGTCTAAAAGTATAAAGCAAAGGATTAGAGATATTTCTCTCTTCTAAAACTCCCCTTTCCCATCAAATCCACTTCCTCAGTTTATGTAATAAAGGATTGAGTACATAGTACATACAATAACATTCCCGGAGTCAAGTCCCATGGCGAGGAGGCTGCCGTCTGCGGTGAGGTCACAGCACATGATACGATTATTCAACTTGTACACCTGTATGGGCTGCAGTTCTATCTTATCATCTGTCTTTAGTTCATAAGTCTGAAATTATAACAACAAAAAAAAATCAAGATCTAATCTTTGATTTAAATTCAGTTAAAATTAATTGTTATTACATATATGTTCTATTTTTTCGTAGTTCTGTTCTGTTTCTTGTTTATGGCTCTCCCTCATCGGATTGGGCCAGTGTCAAGTGTTTATGGTTCTGTTTAAACTTGTTAGAGACTGGCAACAATACTCTGCTTGTAGAGAAGTCTTGTGAATAAACAAGTGATTTCGTAGTTTTAAACCATTAAACACAAAATATTGTATTTTTAACAACAATTTTAATTTTAGTGTGGGGCTTAGAATTCTGTGGTGGGGGAACTACGCAGCGCGCAACTCAATGTCGGCTGCCAAAAATATTGAATAGTACAAATATAACAGTAAGAAATGATTTAAACTAACCTGAAACCTATGATAATCATCGCAAATAGCCAATATATATTTCTGGAAAGCTGCACAATTGATATAAACATCCGTCTGTCGGCCATTCAATATATTCTGGACCTGCAGATTGCGATCCCATAGTTTAACTATAGCGTTGGTTTCCACTGTGATATGACCGACGTCATGTACCCAGAAGCACGACACGAGACTGCTGGCCTTGCACAGTCGCCTTCTAGTGTCGCCATTGGGAAATAGACGATCTCTAGAACTTATACTGGCATCGCTACTGGATGCTGATAATTTCTCGGGGCTGATTTTCTTCTTAAAACCTTAAAATACAACATTTTAAAAGTAAATTAACATGAAATAAAGCGAAAAAAGTTTTTATATTTTTATGACGTCATCAGATCAATCTAAATTTTACTAAAACCTATGACTTATTAATTGTTCAGCATACGAATAAAATCATAGCAAAATATGAGACTGAATAATACGGAATTGAACATAAAAAGACCAATTTTAGTATAATATTATTATGCTACTGCCAAATATTCTCAAACCAATATATATATTTCAAGATCTATTAAAATATACTATAAAAAAAAACTTACCTTGTATATCATTTAATATTTCCTGTGATCCCAAATAGCAGTTACCCCGTTGAAGCATTTCAGATTTCCAATCTCCATCGGTAGTAAACCGATATGCCATCAGACATCTATTCTTACCGGCAACTATCAATAAATCTGGGTTAACAAAACTCATATATAACACTGGACTGTAAACATCTAAAATGTCTTTAATTTCTTTAGTTCTTAGTGCATATTTAGTGACAATTCCTGTACGCAGTCCATAGATAATGTATTGATTGCATGGAGATATTTTAACTGCTGTTATTTGATAGTCACTTTTAGGTGATATTTCCGTAATGAGTTTTCTACCGCGCATTATCTGTCAATAGTAAAACAAATGGTATAAGAATTAATCTATATATATAAAAGAAAGTCGTGTTAGTTACACTATTTATAACTCAAGAACGGCTTTACCGCTATTGCTGAAGATAGAAGAAGAAGAACAACGGAAAGACTCAATGTTGATGAAATTTGGCATAGGTGTAGGACATAGTGTGGAAGAACTCATAGGCAACTTATAATTTTTTTTCAAAACCCGCGCGGACGGAGTCGCAGTCGGCAGCTAGTAAAGCAAAGTTTCAATAAGAAATGAAAAAACGTCGCAAAATAAATAAATAAAATGTATTAGCAATTGTTTGGAAATTAATTACTTGACAAATAATTTTTAGTTCGAATCTACACCACCGTTACAAACCACTATCATCAGCGCCAAAATGGCAAAAATCAAATAGGCACAAAATCCCTCGTCGTATAGCCAGTCTATTTATAGATATGTGTGCTTTTACCTTTATATTATTTTTATCATCTACAACAGCCAGCAAAGGTTGTATGCCTCCATCATTATTTCCATTACAAATTCCCTTCAGATTCAAAGGTTTTAGGTTATGTCTGTCCAAACTCATAGTTTTCGTTGCTAACTTCATCTCTATTTCTTTATGAGTGACGAATGATTTGTGTCGTCGTGGTGTGGTATCTTGACTCTGAGTGCCACTGTTGGGCGTGGTGTTGGGAGTCTGTGGGGACACAGCGCCCATGAAACTCACGTCGAAAGTTGTTGTTAGACGAACTTTGCTGTTGATATTAATAAATGTGAATATATTGAAAACCTACTAATATTATAAATCCAAATGTTTCGATGAATGTATGGAGGGATAGATATTTGTTAGAAGATATCTCCAAAACAGCTGCATGGATCTCGCTGAAATTTGGCATAGATGTATACATCGCCATAGGCTACTTAACAATCTTTTTTTTTTAATTTGGCTCAGTTCTCAGCTCAGGCTCAGTACAAAAGTACAGGAAGAGAAGTTTTCAAGAAAGTGTTTTACATTATTTCTTGACCGCCAATGCCTCGCAATACTTTAAAGGCAGGCTTGCAGGCGTATTTAAAGTGTTTTAACAAGTGGGAAGAAATTAGTGATATACTTGAACCGGAATCGATAAGAACGTCAACTGGAATCACTTGTACAATCGCTACGACAATATCGTTACGCCTCTTATTTAGGTTTTCCCTGCAAACGTGAATAATATTTGTATTTCGCGATTCTAACTTCATCTTTGCAAAACAAGTTTCAACTTTATGACCAAGCTTCTTACAGAAACTACACGGTTCAGATTTTGCTGTATTTTGAAGAGAATGACTATTAGTACTAATGTCGTTACTTGGTTACGTTGCTATCTTAGGTCTTTTAAAACAATTTGACTGTTTATGCCCTGGCGTACCACATATAAAACATTTACCATTTTTACGATCATGACGCAACCCACTTGAGTTTTTGTTAGAATGAGGTTAGGGGCATTAGACTTGACATAAATAGAAAGAAACTGTACTAACTCATTAATTTGGCGTTGGTTACAGATGCGCGGATCTGTGATGCCCCGTATAACTATTGCCGATATCAGCTCATCGCTTAACCCCCTAATGATTCGTAATCGTAAAAGGCCCCTACGAGCATAATCAGCGTATGTAAGGAAGCTATCCGAATTGGTGCTCATAACCTCGTACAGAATGTTAGCTATGTCTGTTTTTTTTTGGACATAAAGGCTTAAATACGTTTTTAAAATTACTCCAACTGCGGTCATTCGTTACCCATTCACTGAGTCACGTTTTTCGTGATCACTCCAATTATTAGAAGACCTAGCTCTGTCTACTTCGTCACACCATGTCTCTGTGTCATTAACACTCGGATCAAAATTAGAAATAAAATAAGACTGGTTAGATCTCACCGGTATATTTATGGATCGTATCGCATCGATGATGCGATCGGCGGCGCTGGCCTGGACTGACGTAGCGCTCGCGGGACGCTCCGGTGAGGACGGAGTCGTTGAAGCCTGAAGCGCGCCCTTGAAGCGAGCTCGCAGTCACAGCTTCGCCCAACTGCGACGGCGGCGGCATCGACACGGCAGGCTCAACGGCAGGAACGGGCTCGGCGCTGATGGTTGCCACAGGCACCGCGGACTTGGCTACTTCCATTGCAGCGCGGCCACTCGACTCCTTTCGTTGAGATGAAGACACTACTTCTATTTGTTATTTTAAAGCGGAGAACTACTAACTTTTTGAATTAATAAGAAAACTAACAGAATTGAATAAAACACTAAAATGATTTAAAAATACAACATTAACTTAATCAACTATCAGAGTTAAAATGATTAATTATTTTGGCTAGTCAAACGGGCAGAGCTTCCGCTGGCTTCAGTGTTCGGTGGCGAGTGTGTCCCGAAAATGAGGGTGCGGTCTCTTATATTGGCATCACCCCAGCATTATTTTTAAGTTCCACCCTCAGCCAACAATATATTTAAAGTAGGAAGTTATTAAGTAGCCATTGTCAACTGAGTTACTGTTTAACGCATTGTGTGCAATGTTTAAAGTTTATTGATATTGTAAAAGCTTCTAATAACTTTTAATTTGATCTTACTTTATAAGTTACGTTTTTCCTAGACTAAATAACATTATTATCGTAATTTAAGTAACGACCAATCAGAGAAGAGCCAGATGGGTTTGAGAGGGGTCGAGGCACCATCTTTTATAAGGCGTTTTGACAGTTGTTACGAATATAGTCGTGAAGTGGAGACGGATCGAGTTGGGTCATCGTGTTTTGTGCTTGCACTTTACCGTAAATGA